AAATAGTTTGGGATGGAAGGGACCTTTAAAGGTCATGTAGTCCAATCCCACTGCAATGAGCAGGGACATCTTCAACTGTATCAGGTTGCTCAGAGCCCTATTCAACCTGACCTTGAATGTTTCCCATCTCTTTGGGAAACCTGTTCCAGTGTTTCACCACTGTCATTGTAAAAAAATTTTTTTCTATATCTAGTCTGAATCAACTCTTTTTTAGTTTAAAATCTTTACTCCTTCTCCTATTTCAACAGACCACGTTTAAAAGTTTGTCACCATCTTGTATATGAGCCCCCTGTAGTTACCAAAATGCCACAGTAAGGTCTCCACAGAGCTTTCTCTTGTCCAGGCTAAATGACCCCAGCTCTCTCAGCCTTTTTTCATATGAGAGGTGTTCAATATGACCATTTTTGTGGCACTCTGCTGGACCCACTTCAACAGGTCCATGTCTTTCCTGTGCTGAGGGCGCCAGTGCTGGATGTAGTACTCCAGGTGGGATCTCATGAGAGTGAAGTAGAGGGGCATAATCACCTCCCTTGACCTGCTGGCCACATCTCTCCTGGCCCAGGACATCACTGGCTTTCTGGGTACTACGTGCATATTGTCAGCTCAGGACCAGCTGACAACACCCACAAGTACCCCCAAGTCCTTTTCCAAAGGGTTCTCTCAATCCATTTTTCCCTGAACCCATATTGATACTAGGGACTGTCACAGCTGAGGTGCAGGACATTGCACTTGGCCCTATTGAACGTCAGTGTTCACAAAGGCACACTTCTCAAACTTGTCCAGATCCCTCTGCATGGCACCCTGCCCCTCAGGCATGTCAACTGCACCACTCACCTTGCTGTCATCTATAAATTTGCTGAGAGTGCACTTGATCCCACTCTCTATGTCAACTATTAAGGTATTATAGAGTATTGGTCCCAATACAGACCCCTGAGGGACACCACTTGTCACTACTCTCCACTTGGATGTTGAGCTATTAACCACAATCATCTGGATGCAACCAACCAACCAATTCCTCATTCACTGAACAGTTCATCCATTAAATCCCTCTCCAATTTATACAGAAGGATATTGTGGGCTGTGTCAAAGGCTTTAGAGAAGTCCAGACAGGCAACATCCATAGCTCTTCTCTTGTCCACTGATATAGTCACTCCATCCCTAGGTTGGTTAGGCAGCACTTGCCCTTGGTGAAGCCATGACAGCTTTCTCAAATCACCTCCCTGTCCTCCATGTGCTTTACCATAGCTAAGGACATGTAACTCTTACGATGTTTTATTCTAAAATTGCCTCATAATCCCTACTGTTCACTAGTAAGTGTTTTTACATTGAAGTCAGTCACACTCCTAAAGTAGAGAACTCATTCCATCAGTGAAATAAAAATCATGTCAAGATGGTAATTGTAACATGTCTTCAGTTCTTCTGGTTTTGCACAAGGGTCTGGCAGGACACCAGGAGTCGTCCCAAAGCACCAAGCATACAATGGAATTATAACTTCTGAGAACACAGGCAGAGGATAACTTCAGATGACCCAGTCTTTGCAGCTGGATAAAAATCAGTCTTTGAGTATAACAAAGAGGACAAAGACAATGTGTAAAATATTCTATATAAGACAAAACCAGAGGAGATAAGAAAACATAAAAAGACAATAATTTTCAACAGAAAAAGTACAAAGAAAGGTCAGAATGGGCAGAACTGCTCCAGCATTCCATCCCCATTCAAGTACACCACACCAGATCATCTTATTTATCCACCCAAGTCCTCCTTCAACTTCAGTGGAGAAAAATAGGTGTTTTTCAGTTTGCCACCCACCAAGTTTTGCTATTGTAAGTCAACAATCATAGACAGCAAAATAAAATGTCTTCTGTAACTGGTTGAAAAGAACGGCACCCACAGGGGTGCATGTTTCCTGCTCCAGCCTCCTGCTGCAGTGAAACTGATAATGGCAGCACTGACAGGAACAGACTGAGCACAATGCACAGTATTTTCTGTCTGGGGGTATTATTTTGACTGACTGCCTATGTGAGAGTCCATGAGCTGAGCAGCACTGTACAGCTGTACTGGCACGTAAGCTTTGTTCAAATCCTTGCTAAAGCTGAGAATAAAGTAATGATGTTAGACAGCTTCCAGAAACCAGCTTTTAAGAGTGCCATTGTGACTTAGTCCTTTTGAAATAACAAACTATACTTTCAAATCTAGTTTACGTTAACTAGAGAAAGAAAGTCTTTGACTGTATATACCTTCTTTTTTTTAATTCTCCATAGCAGAACTGACAAGTTCCCCCCCGCCTTCCTGATTTTTTTTTCCTTGTAAGCATTTTTCTTTTTAGTTATGTTGTTTAAAATGCAATGTTGGCAATGAGATATTGCTAGAGGCTTTGGACTCATGCCTTCTGAAGCTTCCACTTTTCCCAACTTTTACTAGCAATAAAGAATTTGTGTCTAGAAACATGTAATTTGAATTGCAAAATTACCCCAAAAACATAAATGGAACTTAATTGGTTACAAAATAATATTTTCACATAATTAAGGAATTGTTTGAGGGATTTAAGGCATAATTTATTAGTTCTGGTTAAGGTGCACATTTTGATTCCTACAGGCAAATAACAAACTGATTAGTAAGTGTAATAAAGCAGTTTATTTGTCTGACAATTGGCAGCTAGCAGTGCAATAACTTACTTGATCAATTGCCATTTTAAAGAACATTAAAGCTTCTCATAATTATGCTATCTATATGGTATGCAGATGAATAACAATACAGTGTTACCCTTAACACAAGTGATTTAATATGATGTTTCTGCCAGATTTTCTACCTTTCTACATAATGCAAAAGGAAGTAACTAATTTTGGTACTGAAAGATTGAAGAACTGACTCCCTTTCAGATACACAAAGAATCTGACCATAGGAAGAACTACAGATGATAGCTTCTCTTGATCCATTTTTATCCTGATACTCAAAGCCATGCATATGAACTTTGAGAAAGAGTCGTAGCTTCCCGTTTAGTTCTTCAGAATTCTGCAGCTGTCAAGTGAGACAGCCACCTGTCTCTGGGAGGAAGCTTTTCCAATTCATCACATAAAATAAAGGTCTTCTTATGTTCCTTAATTTAATTACTTTGTCAGGTAACATCAACAGTGCACAGTTCTTGGAGTCCATTTCTGTAAATAAATACCATACATGTTTCAGACAGATATTACACCACAAAAAAATACAATGGCACCTGTACAAGATCACCTTTTAGAGATCAAATGATACTTCAGTAATCCAGGTAAGGACATATTTACCAGTCAGATAAAGTTCAGGTAAACCACAGTACACTGGCTTGAGAAGGTCAACGGAAATTGCCTTGGTTCCCTACTGTTTTACTGAAAATGCCTTACATCCAATTAAAAAGAAAACCAGAAGAAAATATTACAGTAAAATCACAAAAGTTTCAAGAAAAAAAGTGAACAAGTTAAAGAACTTAAACACAAATTCAAATGAGATATGATATACCTTAATATGCAAAGACACCTAAATAGAAACACATTCAGGAAAGTTATTGTCATTTCAATTCAACATCAGTACAATTAACTCCATTCTTCTACCACTCTCAAATAATCACATTTAAACCCGATTTACAAAGAGCATTAATTTTAAAGTTTCTAGCAGAGAATCAATTCTGGAATGCTATTTTGCGCTACATGAGAAAGGTCAGAAACCTTGTTAAAATTCTAACAGAATTTAAGTTTTAATGACTGAAAACTTATGTTCTGGATCACTGACAATTAGAGAACAGAGTTTCTAGTTTGTTACCATTTCTTATTAAGCCTATCTACAAAAGTACAGGCCTACTCGCAAGAAGTTCAATATATTTAGATTTCTAACAATGTGCTGAGAGACCTTATATAATTTGATTTTCATAATAAATATTTTAACAAGCCATACATTCCCCTTCCACACTAGGAGGTTTCAAAAAAAAATGTGTAGGAGCACTAAGGAAATACTACAGTTCATTCTTTGGACTCATTATTCAACTGTCAAATCACCTGTGAATCACCTGCCAATTAGCTTATCTTCTACCACATTTTCTGGAAAAGACAAGTAGTGGTATATTTTCCTATATTTCTAGTACCCAAACAATCTGCTGTCACTAATGGCTTCTACCTCAAACCATCTCCTTGAAGCAGGGAAGCATTATGCTATCTTATTAACGGAGAATTCAAGGACAAAGTGAGGATAACAAATCATACAAACAAGTCTGTGGCTAAGTCATAATTTCTCACATCTCTGACTTAGCCAGTTTATCTAACAGTTCTTGATGCTAATACATGCCTTTCCTACCCTTCTACTTGCATAATACAACTTCTACCAACTCTTCTCCTTCACATATCACTTACTTTCTCAGAAATCCTCCTCGTTCCTGTGAATAATCCCAGTCCCCAGATGTAGTGACCAATAGGAGAATATCCAGCCTATGGCTGGAGGCTTCCCACTTCCCCTGTTTCCCAGCAGTTTGTAATGCTTACAGGTTCTAGAACAATTCAGCATTACTACAGAGACAGCTCCCTTGATGCTTATTCAGGATTTGCATATAAGTTTGAGAAGAATACACGAAGTTTGAGAGTCAAGCAATGCAGTACATACACTCTTTGGCTATTATTAGAAATCACTAACAGAACTGCTCTAGCATTAGGTGATAATGCTGTATGGGAAAAAGGGTAAACTATCATTATGCAATCTACCTTTCAACTAACAAATTGCTGATTAATTCAATCTCTTACTGACAGTCTCTATGGCAATAATTATTCCCTGTAGCAAATAACGCCTACGGCATTTAAAAATGTCAACCTCCTCCACCTGACCTCTCTGCTTAATAGGGATTCTGGATCTATTCTCCTTAAAAAAACAACATCACGCATTAATACACTTGCTAGAAAATTCCTCATTTGTCAGTCAAGATTTGACGCTGTTTTTACATGTATGAAGCACACTGCAGAGTTGCATCGCTGTATAGTACATACCCCATGTTCTTTAGCAGCCATAACCACTTTTGAAAGGATATCTTCTTCTACAAATGGCCTCACAGCATCATGGATAATCACTACTTCTGGTTTCTGGAGCAGATGGCTGGAAAATTCCTTCTCTGCAAATACTTTCAGTCCATTGAAAATTGACCGGTGACGAGTTATTCCACCTTCTACTACTGTAACTCTTTTGTGGCCATATTTTTCAATTATACTCTTCATTGTTTCAATATTTTCAGGAGAGACCACCACAATAATGTCAGATATCCAACTTATCCTAGAAGAAATAATACAAAACCACAGAAAATAGATATGAATTACTAAGTAAAAGTAGAGATATGTGAAACAAAGAAACTCATAACAAAAATTCAAGATGGCTAAATAAAGCATCTCTCAGTATACTCAAATCCATGTTTTTGTACTCCAGGCCTAAAGGGAGAGATATTACAGAGGATTTCTACCAATACATGGATACCAACCAATAAAACTGGAGTTCTGGAAATGGACTTGCTTCCAACAGCCACTTTGCAGAGGGGTACCTTCTGATAACCCTTCCAAAAGCCTTCAAAGTATTTCTTACTCCAGCCTCATTCCTAACTTGAAACAGAATTTCTAAATCAGTCAGTTACAGTTTGTTAATCAGTTTCCAATGAATTGGTAAATCCTGGGACCTGGAATACTCCATATTCCAAAGAAGTACACTGTGTACAAAAAAATAAGAGGATCAAGAAAATTTCTGAAACAAAGATCACTATAAAGACAGTCATGAGCAGTAATTGACAGATTCCTAATGAATTAATGATACTGTAACACTTGAATATTGACAGGAAATACTATACTGGTAGTTTGAAAAAAAAATATACACACACAAATGTTTCTGCTCTAGTGCTTTAGGAAGCCAGGAAAATGTAAAAACATAGCTGTGCTAGCTAAGATAACAATAACATCAAAAGTATATTTTTAAAGAATTTCAAGCTGTTACTGTTGCTATCCGTCTAGGTCTACAATAGAGGAGACGTGTAGGGGGACAATGACCCACAAACCACAAGACTAAAACCAGTCATATTTGAAGAAAGGTTAAAGTCATACTTGTGTCAAAGGACCTAGGAATACAAAATCAAGTCACACGTGGCATACTGTACTTAAAAAAAAAATAGAAACACCACAATTCAAATCCATTTTAGTGTTTTATTTTCTAAATGTTATGTAGAGAACATTAAAAAAAAATGTTTCCACAGATGGCAGAAGAGTTTTGTAGCATGTCAGACAAGAAACTCATCAGATGAGCAATGATTAAAAAAACCCCCAAACTTGCTATGTTAAAATTACCTACGTATAACTTACATTTCCAACTAGAGAGAGACAAGTATTATATACTCCCTCAAGTAAAACTAGTAAAGCTATTGAAACTAATTTTGCAGACAAAACAAGAATAAAGGTACTAAATATTTCCAGAATATTAGAAAAATAAGTGTAAGAAATTTACAGTTCAGAACTACACAGGCTGAATATACTGGTTTCTACAATAACACATGAGAAGGCATTGCCTAGAAACTCTCCTTACTCCAAAAGAAAAGTCATCTGTGATACAAATGATTCCCCCAGAACTAGGAGAAACAACAGAGCATCTTCCACCTTACGTATGGTTGGTTTTGTTTGGTTTTTTTGCAATTGATAAAACTCCATGGAAAATTATTTCAATTAATTTTAAAATAACTCTTAAAAATCAAGTAAATGGAAGTGCTATTAGCATTCTTCAAAAGAAAAATATTTGTCCTTGTGTTCATTTTATTATTAACAAAGGCAGAAAATACAGCCAAACCAACATATTCTCAGCACTTTTAAAGTACTGAAGTTGTTCAAATGTAAAATCTGAAACCATATGGTTTCAAGTTTCATTTCAACTTGTCACTCACCACAGGTTCATCAAAAGGTTTTAAAACCTCTGAAATTAGTTCTGGCACAGTCTTACATCTAGCCACAAAACTTAGCATGTCTGCATGACTTAAACTTAGAACTAGGGCAAAGTAACTGGATTCATCTCAGTTCTTTTGAATATCGAGAGTCAGTCATTTAAATAAAGCAAAATTCAAGAAGAGCTATTTCACACTGAATGAGAACAAGAGCTCTGCACTTCTATTTGCAGAATGACTATAGCCTTACACAGTTCCCAGAAACAGTGGACATTGTGCACATTCACTAGCTCTGCATAAGAAAAGCACTAACATTTCCCTTTGTGGAGTTAAAATGAAGCAGATTATGAGGCAACTGGGTAGCACACAGCATCTTCTGAGAAGAAGGGAAGAGAGCACAAGTACTGGCCAGCCTATGATAAATCGTTGCACGGGGTGGGTGGAATGGCTCAAGGCCTCCAGTGGGGTACAATATACCAAAAAGTGACAGGATGCGGTCACAGCTCCACCCTGTGTCTGCATAAACACATTTGTAAACTTGAGTATGTCCTCCTTAAACTCATTCCAGACTCATGTTCTACAATTAGAGCTGGGATTTAGGGATGTAACCTCTTCATATGAGAGTATAAAGTCATCCTCTAGACCGATTATGTACCAGAACAGCTTAGGTTTTGTGCCACCAAAACTCATGAAAAGTACTAATCCAGTAAAGTATGCTACGAATTTTAATGAATAAGAACAGTGCACCACACAGGTGCTTGCTCTTTTAAAGATCTGCTTATGGAAATGTTGCAAAATGTTTTAATGAAGTAGAAAGTTATCAGTATACACTCAATCTGTCAGTAAATAAATCTTTTTTTCCTCCCTCAATTTGTCACATTTTTTTCAGAAAGATTTCACGCTGAAATAATAAGCAGCTCAGGACCTGGTCAAATCCATTTCAATTTTATAACTGCAATATTAGATCAAGATAACACAAGTTTCAGCAAGAATCAGCACAATGCATGAAAAAGATCATAATACTGTACCCCAATCTGCTTAAACAATACAGAACTCTAGTGCTTCCATACAACACAGACTGTAGTTCTGAAGTGGAAAATCAGGTCTGACCAGATGAAACATAACTCCAATTATAATCACTTTACAACTGCCTTAGGAAGACCTTAATACTAGCAGAAGGGAAACAATGAGGCAGAAAAGTACTATGTGTTTGTTTCCTGCAACTATCCTTCTCCTCATCACCTACAAATAGACCTACTGCCTGGTGGGAAATAGTATTATTTCATTAAGTTTCAAAAAAAAGTACAAACAATTATATTAGTCCAGGTAGAACTCGAAGTAAAGGAGCTCATTAACTCCACAACAGATTGTTATTACATGCCTTCACAACACAAGCCACAGAAGAAATTAAACAAAACCACTTTGAAACTGCATCACCTAAGTGGCATGCTGAGGTACCAATGTGACTGAGGTTTAACCCTCCGTCAGTTCCCTCACATACAAACCCGTCCTGAGCCTGAAATCTGACATCAGGCTTAAATGCTCACACTCAATCAATTTGCAACTCTCATTCTGCCAGTAACAAACTATTCAGTACAACATACCAAAATCAGCAAAACAAGGCCAGAACCAGGCAGTCACTGATGAGATGGCTTTAGCAGTGTTACACAGGATCTTTCACTGCGACAGAAACTCTTCACAGGTGCAAGATAAATCATTACACCACTTTTGCTGGTCTTATTATTCAAACACCAAATCAGAAAAAGAACCATCAAGAACAACATGCATTTGCAGAATGCACGTATAACTTCCTTTTGCTCCATAGCAGCTTTGTTATGACTTTATTGGTATATGAAAAACTGTATCTTTTACAGTACAAAAATGGAAGCAGGAAGCTTTTAAGTCTGATATATTAAGGAAGTTTGAAGGATCTCATGTACAGAAGCCATTCATTTTTTCCAAAAATAAAATGCTCCTTATGAGTCAGACAAGATAACAAAGATACGTTCGTAAAGTTTGCTATTATTATTTTCAGCTCATAAGCTATTTCAAGAATAAGCTAACGATAACTGGACAAAAAGAACTAGTTTTGCACACCTCCTCTCCTAAGGGCATCATCTGTGAATATTATTGGCAGGCCAGTGTTCTACATGCTGCCATTCTATACAACAGGATGCACTGCTTATTCATTCGTGTCTGCTCTTGTCTCATCTGCCCATTTTCCTACATTGATATTTAAGATTCTCACTACTTTCAGCTGAACAGCATAAAGATCTTTTTCTACCAACCTTTAAAAAGCACATGCAAAGCAGCTGCACACCCTTGAACTACTCATATAGCTGTCTATATATTACTACCTTTATTCCAGATTAAAAAAAAAGCTCAAAAATAGCTGCAGCAGCTGAGGTAATCAGTTCAACAGAAATTATTACAGGCTAATGGGTCAATTATTCATTCAATTACAACAGGTCAACAACAGGTATCAGAAGATAGTATTGAGCTAAATACAAAACCTGCCAGTTGTGGGTGAAAGATTATGTGACAAACTGCAGTTCCTCAGTATCACATTTTTGTTCTTACAGCCTCACAAAGTAAGAACAAGGTACATCCTTTGCAGTTTCAAAGCCAGAAGTGAAAGTGTTGAGATGAAAGAGAAAGCCATTCTAAGCTTTGGAGTACATGGTTTCCCAGCTCCTCATACACATCTCTACCAGTCAACACTCTACTGAACACTCTGGTTCAGTAGAGATGGTAGGAAGCTCTGCCTGTCAGAGCCCTGGCAGTGCTTATTGTACTCCTAAGCAAAAGCATCAAGTCGTTACTCTCACAATCAGCTTGGTTGGACTGTACAATTAGAATTCAACCTTCTAATTTTTTGCAGCTTTAGGACATAAATATAATTCTGTTGCTCAAAGTACGGTTATTTTCTCAGAGCTTAGTGGCAGTAAAAATAAAGGGGGTTTTTAGATGAATAATGCTTTATTTTCCTATGAATATCATTTCCTTCCCAAACCTCACTCTGTTCTCATTTCCAGGTCTCCAATACAGTGAGTGAGGATATTATTCTTCTCTGTAGATTCCCATGACACTTTGGCAGAAATTACAGCTGTGGCAAGCTTTGGATTGGAGGTTTTGCTTAATTATGTGCTTATCTTTGTGACTGGCTGCTGTTGAAAATTAAATAAACAAGTAGCATTTCTTTCATAAAGTAACAAGGGACCTGAGGGAAGCCTCTCTAGGTGGGAATGGAAAAAGAGTCACAATTTTGATGTTGTACAAGTTTCCGTGAGTTAAGAACTTTGAGAGATGCTGGCAATTTCACTTCTTGCACCAACCTCCACTCCTCCCCATTTATCCTTTCTGAAAATCTAAAGGCTTGTTTTCCTAGTTACTGCAACACATCCAGAATATACTCCTGTGTATTCTGTGAAATATGGTGTTTCAAGTGACACTACTCACAAGACTTACGTTAACATTTGACAATAATATATTAACTGTCAGTCACATGCCTAGAACTCAACTGCCTTATGAATAGGAAAAAACCCTGGCTGCTAATAGATCCCATTACTTGAATCCTTTGCTCCAACACAGAATCACAGAATGCTAAGGGTTGGATGGGACCTTAAAGATCATTTAGTTCCAACCCTCCTGCCACTGCTAGGGACACCTCCCACTACACCAGGTTGCTCAAGGCTGCATCCAAGCTGGCCTTGAGCACTACCAGGGCTGGAGCACCCACAACCTAACTGGGCAACCTGTTCAACACCCTTAGAATGACAAATTTCTTCCTAATATCTAACCTAAATTTCCCCTCTTTCAATTTGTACCTCTTATTCCTCGTCCTATCACTACAACATAGCCACAGAAAAGTTACATGTGCAGCTTCATGCTACATATGCTTCCAGTTCAGCAGGACTTAAACAAACCTTTTCGCTTTAAGCCTCCTGCTGATGCAAGGTGGTTTACCACGGCCAGTGGTGAAGCACAATGCAGTGCTGTACACCACTGAATGCATTCACCTCACTATGAGGAGTGGATCTTTTTCAGAGGCCTCTGGACACTGCCATAAAGACAGCACAGATCTTTTCTCAAGGCTGATGAGTAGCATTATGACCGTCTCCAGCAACTGCGGTAGGCTCGCAGCTCACCAAACCAGCCACTGCAGCTACAGGAACCCTCGAACTTCGAGGCTGAAGGGGCCTCGAACCGATGATCTCCGGCATCCATGGAATGTGCCACAGCTTCGAGGCACAGGCAGGGCTGTGGGGGGAGAGCAGAGCCGCCCGGTATGGTGGTCCGGGGGCCACGCTGGGCTGGGGGAGGCGCCCAGGTCCCGCCTGGTACCTGTGCCCAGATGAGCGGGCCACTCACACCTCGTTCCCTGCCCCGCTGTCTCTCCCTGCACGGTCTGAGCGGCCGGGGAGAGACGGGGAGACACCGCAGCGAAAACTAGACCCGCCTAGGGCCTGCGGCGAGGGCAGGGCGACTGCCCGCGGCTCTCCGGGCACCGGGGCAGGGCGAGGGCCGGCCGGGGCCGGCGGGGCGCGGTCGGGGAGCCGGGCGGCGCCGCCTCGTTACCTCTCCATGGCCCGCACCGCGTAGCTGACGAGCGGCCTCCCCTGCACGACGCAGAACTGCTTGGGAGTGGCGCCTCCCAGGCGCTCCCCGCTCCCGCCCGCCGGCAGCACGGCCGACACCGACACCCCGCCGGGCTCCATCTGCGCGGGGTCCCGCGGCGGCTCCGCTCTGCGCCCCCCGCGGCAGGAACGGCGCAACCGCCCGCCCGCCTCTTTTATTCGCCCGCGACGTCCGCGACCCAAAGAATCCAGCGCCCGCCCGCTCGCCTGCCCCCAGCGCACACCGGGCCCTATTCCTCGCCCACCCCGCGCTACGCGAGGCCCCACAGAGGCTCCCCGGGTGCGGGCAGCCCCGCGGCATAAGCCCAGGTCGCAACGGGGGAGCGCCCGGGGCACCCTGGCAGCACAACAGCGGGCACACAGCGGGACAACCGGGGGACCGCGGCCATGGGCCCTTTAAATGCCCGGCGCGCGGGTGACTCCGGGTGGGCGGGGCCGGCGCGCGGGGCGGGGCGGGGCCGCGCTGAGGGGCGGAGCGAGCCGCGTGCCTCCCTGCCCCGCCCCGCCCGCCCCGCCGGGAGGGGCGGGAGCCGCGGGATCCGGGAAACGGGACTGTTCACCGTTAAACCATATTCCCAAATGTCCTGTCCACACACCTTTTGAATGCTTCCAAGGACAGTGATTCCACCACTTCCCTGGGCAGCCTGTTCCAATTCCTGACAGCCTTCTGAGTGAAGAAAAGGGCTTAACCTCCCCTCTTAACTCGAGGCCATGTCCTCTCATCCCGTCACTGGTTGCCTGGGAGAAAAGTCCAACCCCCACCTGGCTACAACCTCCTTTCATGTAGTTTTAGGCAGTGATAAGGTCACCTTGGAACCTCTTTTTTTCTCCAGGCTACACAACCCTAGCTTCCTCAGCCACGCCTCATAGGATATGTGCTCTGCTCTGCTCCTTTCAGCATCTGCCCTTCTCTGGACACAATCCAGCACCTCAATGTCTTTCTTTCAGTGGGTGGCCCAGAACTGAACACAGTACTCAAGGTGTGGCTTCGCCAGTGCCGGGTACAGAGGGACAATCATTGCCCTGGTCCTGCTGGCCCCACTAGTCCTGATGCAAGCCAGGAGGCCACTGGCCTTCTTGGCTACCTGAACACAATGTCGGCTCATGTTCAGCTGGCTGTCAACCAGCACCTACAGGTAAAACACTGTGAAAGGCTGGGGTGTTCCCGTCTCATCTCATAGTGTTACTGTAGGCAGTAGCTGAGACAGGTTAACTGAAAAATTCCCAGAGGTGATACTGATTAAGTGGCAGAGGAGGCAGTCCAAGAAGGAGGGGGTTTGCTAAGCATGACATTAGGTCACCTGTTTGTAAACAGGAAAATAGGTCTCTGGTTGATGTGTCTGGCTTCACTGTACATCTTAGGCTGTAAATTGAGTATATTTAAATACCATAGCTACAGTCTATCTTCATCTGAAAGTTTTATGTATCTCACTGTAATGATGCCATTGCAAGTCTGAAAGGACTGTTGGGAGCTTGTTCCTGCTTATCAGGGAACAGTGAGGGCCAGCTACTCCAAATGGGAAGGGGACCCTGGAGCAGAGCATGGTATCAAGGCAGGTGAGAACAGCAGCATCACCAACAAGGAGCCAGGATGCTAAGGATGAGCCAGGGTAAGGATCAGGACCTGCACTGTCAGGCATAGTCCAGAGACCACCTGGCCTCAGTGAGGTGGCTGGTCCCAGGGCAAGCCAGGATGTCAAGCCAATTCGTGTGGCTCAAGGTCAAGAAGGTGTCAGACCAGGTGCAGACATAGAGGACCAATGGTAAAGGAGGAGGAGGAAGAGGAAATAAGAGTCAGGACCTTGCTTCTAGCTATCTTCATAACAGCTCTTATTAGTGAAAGAGCTAACTTTGACCTTGACAAGCTAGACTCCTTAACTCAGCCATCTAAACTTGTTGAAGGTGAGTGTACTCAGGGCCCTAGCACTGTACTATTTGGCATTATTTTCAGGAAAAAATAAGTGCCTTATGTGCAGGCTGTTCTAAAATTACCAGAGGCTTTAGAGTCTGCAGGATTTTTTGAGCTATTCTGTATATCTTTGAAAAGCTGACATTTACAGCTTTTCATGTTTCTGTACGCTGTGTTTAAAGGAACCTAAGTAGAACACAGACAGAGACTTTTCTGAGAAGTAGATCTGATTGAAAAAGCAGCATGGAAGGAAGTTTGTTATGTCCCATCTGGGCTGCTTTGCCAGTGCCAGCTGTGGACTGGGGTAAAATGATCATAAGGGCTTGCAGAGGCATCATAAGTAGGAGTCATACAATAGGAGTGAAGTGATGCCTCCTAGCAAAGGCAGGAGTTCACAGATATCCTTGTTACCTGCAATAGCAGGAAAGTCCTGGAAAACTGGACAATGCAGTAGAAAACATAGGCACTTTACATGCAAAGGTGTCTTGACAGTTCTGACAATGGGCAGAAATCACATCAGCTTGTACCGTGCCTTGAAACATGAGAGGGACTGATGCCAAACCTTTTGAATGGAAACATACAGATGTACCTTCTGGATAATGATGTCTCAAAAGCTTCTGGAAGGAACAAATGTGTTACCATGGGCATTGAAGGAAATGGGCATGTTAAAAAAAAAAAAAAAAAAAAGAAAATGGATGAATTTTACAGATTACTGAAAAACTTACGGAATGGAGACTCCTTACATTAGTGAGTGGGATTAGCTAGAAGTTGAACTGCCTACCTCCTGACAAGTGTAGATCTCATTGTTTTTAGGGCTTTTTGTCATGTTGGTTTTTCTTTTTAATAATTTGTTGGCTTAGCAACTGTTTAACTGTTCATATTCTTTTTCAGTGAGTCTTATATTTTCTTTTCATGTGAAGTATTTCACTACACTTAATTCCTGACTGATGACATACATTTGTCTGTTGTCTCTTTTGAAGACTTCCAAGTCTGACCTGTGGATCTCTCCTGTGCAGACTGCCATCGGTAGAGCATCACTTTTTTATTACCAAGTACCCAAAATGCATTTTTCCTCTTGAGATAGGTACCTCCAGTGACCAAAATCATCTTGGGACTCTAATTTTTTCTTGCAGCAGTTCTATAGAGACAAGTTTAGGGCAGCTTGTTCTGCAACACTCTCATTTTTTTCCTTTTTTTTTTTTTTTTTTTCCAGTGTAACAGACATTCTGAATTCCTATCTCAGGTCTTCATGCTTCCATTCACAAAAAATCACAAACATTAGTCAACTCTAGCTGATTTTCCAGACCTTTTTATTGTTTACTTTACGATAAGAAGCAAAATAAGGTCTTTTTAGTGTCCATGGCTCCTCCCACTGTACATCTGTTCTTGGGGTAGGTAAGTGTGATATTCCCAAACACCAACACAACCTTCAGAACTATTGTCCCCTTCCTTCTTGACACTGTGGTTTTCATGTCTTTACCTACACCTGCAGTCTGTTGTGCCTAGTACCTTCTCTCCTGTCCAGTCAGCATTTCTCCACTTCATTTCTTTCAGTAATATTAACTTCTCCTGAGAAGGACAAAAAGGTAAGAGAGATTGATGAAAGAATACCATGTGCTAAATTTGGTTCTGTTCTTGTTCCTTACTATGCTAAGGGAATGAGACTTGATCAGTCTAGAAGAAATGATATTTGATGGACGGACTTTGATGGATGCAGACTTCAGTGTCATCCAATCTGTGGTGTATTTATGGTGAGATTTGATGATCCAGGCAAAAAGCACTTTGAAGCTGCTTTTGGCTGCACTTGAACGTCAAATGTTTCAGAAATTTTCATGTTTTTCACAGTTCCTATGGAACTGTTAGCTTTTCCACCAGCCCTTCAGGATAGACTCTTGGGGTTTTGTTTGTACTAAATTTTCTACTGGCATTTCTCCTTTTATTTTCTGTTTTCTTAGACAATGATGTGGAAGGAAGACCATATTTAACATCCTTATCCTTTTATACTATGTTTTACCCTGAGTTAAGAAAACTGGGATTTGGGGGTTTACATATTTTCAGTATTCATTTGTTAGTAACATGCAGTGAAGCACAGTGACATTTTGGGAATACATAATTTGCCTTCAATTCCATTTCTTTATGCATTTTGTATTGAATCAATCTACTATTTTGGTTGCTGTGCATATGTATTTGTGCTCATATAAAAACATTTGAAGTGGGGTAAAATGTAAATTCACACATGTTGGGAGAACAATTTTGCACAGTTTTTAACTGAATAAAAAAGGGAGAGACAACATTTACCTCAAAGCAAGTAAAGAGCAGGCTAATCCATCATTTCTGTGCAGGGTATAACATCTGAAACCACAGTAGTAGTTTGCAATTATGCAGTAAAGATGCCAATCATATGTTTGAAAGGAAAAGCAAGTGTTTTTTTTTTTTCTTTTCTTTTTTTTGTTGAAGAAGATATGTACAAATTGGAATCAAATTACAGTAGTGAAATTCACCTGAAAATTTGACTGCTGGAGGAAAATATCATCTGTTTCTATTACTGACTTGTAGTAGGGTTTTTAGAGAACATTAAGTTATTGGAGTGGTAGAAATCATTCTGAAAGGTTTTTGTGAAAAATTAGTAAAAGAGTAAAACTTCTTAATTTAAAATTTCAGTTGAGTCTTCTGTACATGTGGTATAAATTAACTGAGAAATTGCCCATTATCGAAGTAAATTCTAAGCTCTTGAAGAATTTTATTTTTAATGCAGGCAAAAGAGGATGACTTTGCCTTTTCCTGACAAGCAGCAAGGTTCACTATGGTGTGTTTTAAAGGGAAGTGCATGGAATCAAGTAACATTTAGCAAGTTAAAGTGAATTGTAACAGCAAAATTAAAAAAAAAATTAAAATACTTCCTACTATGGAAATGCAAGATTCATAAAAGACAACATAAACCTACAAGTATTTTAAATCTGAGAGCCATTCTTCAAGCTAACATGGTATCTGTAGCATTCTGAGCAGTGGTGCAGGCTTTTAACCTGAACCTTGTGTATGAAGATTGTATTTCACTAATTTTATCCATATATATAAATTATTTCTTCGGTGATGGTAAGCCATAAAGTCCAGAGCTGTAAGGAAGCAAGTGGAATGCCAGTTCACTTTAGGCAGTTTTTCTCTTCAAGTAGGATAGCAGTCTTGGCTCTCTTGAAGTCACCAATAACTGTCTCTAATTGCTGAAGTCACTCTTTACATAAACCGACACAGGTTCTTTGCATATCTAAAGAGATTAGAAAGTCCTCCAAAGGACAGAATTTCTGTTTTTATCTTGCATGTCTATTGCTATTTGTAGCATGTTACACAAGAGCTCAAAGTCTTAGGCTTCATGGAAACCATAATTTGTTTCCAGATACTTTATTTCAGTTCTGATGGACCACTGCCAAAAATAATCCTGTAACAGTTTCCCTTTATACTCTTCACAATCTTTTACTTGTTACC